AGAGCAGAGTTTGAGTAGTGTGCAGTAAATAAGGCCTGGGGCCACACATTGAACCGTGAGGATAAAACAAAATATTGAATAGCTGCTCATTAATTAAACACCATCCAGTCTGTGCCCTAAATATGGTAGGGGTCTTGTGGAAAAAATAGTATGTGATCAAGTCATAGGTGCCAACTCTGGGGGTGCTCCAGGGCTGGAGTACCCATGGAAAAAAACTAGGGGGTGCTCAGCACCCACCGGCAGCCAGCTCCCCCATTCTCCCAGTGCCTCTCCCCCACTGGCAGCCCCGCTAATCAACTTCTCCCCCTCCCAGGAGGTGCTGGGAGGGAGAGGCAGGAGTGGGGAGGGGACAGAAAGAGGCATTGTAAAAGAAGGATTATCTAAATACAGCATTTATTGTTTTGGCCAGGCAGGTAACTGGTGTGCAGTACCTTTCCATAATGTATTTTGTAATCCTCCATGAAATTACCGTGGTCTATTGTTCTTTGTTTTGTCTTTTAAAGCAGTGGGGACACAACATTTGATTCATATGTAAATAGTGGGACACTTACTACCAGAAGTCTTGAAACTCAAAGTAAGGCCTGACACTTTGTTGTTAACTCCTGCTTTTGTGCTGCTTTCTCCCACTCACAGAACCAGTTACCTGTTTGTTTTTGGTTTCTAGTGCTGGTGAAAGGTCTGGTATTTACAGCCTTGCTGAGGACCTCTGTTTCTCCTCAGAACAAGTACAGCATGCACAGAGACAACTTAGGCTTCGCCTGCCTCAGCCCTGACCAAGTGATGCCACCTCTAGGGATAAGCCAAAAGTTTGGTCTTCATGGCCTACTCAGTCCCTCATGCCTGAGTCTGTCTGTCAGCAATAAGGGCAGTGATGATGGGGAGTGGGGTTGTGATCATCTCCTTGCTAAACTGAAAAAAAAAAATTCCCTAAACCTTTCTGTAATTCAGACTCCTGAGTCAGCAAAGGTAACTCTAGATGGGAGTCAAGACAGTGAGTTAGAGCTGCCTATATCTGCTCAAGTCTGAGACCCAAAATTGTTCTTGAGCATCCTAGGAGCGTAATTCTCCTTCTTATAAGGGAGTTAATGATGCCAGATCCTGATTCACTGGCAGACGTGGGGATAGTTGGTTTTATTTCTTTACTATTTGCAATATGAAAAGATACAAAAATGTACAGATGAGCATGAGACTGGTCCAACACTCCATACTTAAGATATAGGGTGACCATATGTCTCGATTTTATAGGGACAGCCCCAATTTTTGGGTCTTTTTCTTATAGAGGCTCCTATTACCCACCACCCCGTCCTGATTTTTCACACTTGCTGTCTGGTCACCCTATTAAGATATGAACTTCTGGGTGGGTTTTGTCATGAGAAAGTTGTAGAATTAAACCTTAATTTTGTTTTGGTAAGTATCAAAAGAGATCCCCATTCTTGGGGCCAAATTCTCAGCTGGTGTAAACTGATGCAGCATGAGAACTTGGCCTTTGGACACTGAAATGTTCCAGAGATGTCTCCAAAAACTCAGTAAACAAGAGACAAGCATGTAACAATTAGGAAAAATGGGGAAGCACAATGGTAGCACAGATATATATAATGCAACAGGCAAGGAATGTGTAAGTTACAAAACAGAGGGAAAGGGAGGCAGAAATACCACATAAAACAAATGTGTAACACAGTTGTACTAATTTAAACAGAGAGACAGACTGAGGAGGAGGAGGGTGAGAAATCAGGGAAAGAGAGTCTCATATCCCAGGTCACAACCGTCAATCGGCCAAATCTGGATTAATTCTGCTATGCTGAGTCCATCCAAGCAATGTGTATTATTCTATAAGTGACATTACACACTAAGCTGCTGTTTTCTGTCTGTAGGCTGAGAGCAACAGGAGGAAGGTTGCGACTCCCCTGTAACAATTGCCATTATTTACAGTTGTGAGAGTTACTGTGTCCAGTGGACTAGTTAAAAGCTGCCTCGGTATTACTCTGGCTCCCCCTCCTTGCCACCCTGCCCAATCCATTCAATTTATCATCCTGTCTGCTTTTTATTTATTGGTTGAATTGTCAGTCCCCTGTAGCAGATAGGAAGGTATGGGGGAAGGTTTCCTATTTTTATTTTTTGCACCAAGGTTTAGTGAATGCAATGAAATTAATTGAAACAAAAGAGCCATTTGTTTGCTTTTCCCATTAGGAGATCATCCTAGCACAAGGTATCTTTCAAGAGCAAGACCTCCTAGTCAGAACACATACAGAGCAGACAAAACAAACCGCTCCATCAATTAGCAAATATCAGTGAAACTGTTTCCTTAATTAGCAAGTTCACATAAATTGCCTTTGAGTTGATCCTCAGCTTGACGGATAGCAAAGAAAAATGCTTTAAGGTAGGGTTTTCCTTTTCATGTGACTGAGCCTTCGCCACCAGGAATATTTGATAAATCAAAAACTCCCTTCCCATTTTTTAATTTGTCTCCTGGATCTTGGGAAAATAAATGAATTCAGCTTGGTAAAAACACACATTTATGTGTCTGGCTTCAGTGCTGAAAATGCATGCTGAGGATTGGAGGCATGATACCACTGCTGCATTCACAGGTTCTTTTGATAGACAGCTTGTTGTGACTAGATATACAGCTGCTCGCCTAGTCCTGGCAGTCTTTCAGAGGGGATTCACAGATCATATCCTAGGTTTCTGAAGTACAAAAACAGTGGTCCACTCTGATATCATTCTCTTCCTCTTTCATTCATTTGCAATATACTTTTCTATCTACCACTCTTCCATGTGCCTTCCCTCCCTCATTAAATCTGTTTTAATTAAATCTCTCTTCGGCTCATTGCTCAACGTGATTGCCAAGTTGCTGGAATTTGTATTTTTATGGAGTTCCAAAAGACTAGTGTCCATTAGTATCTAGAGGATTTAGGTTATCATGCTTAAAAGAGGAGTTCCAAAGACTCCTATTAAAAGTACTGCAGTAGGATATTTTTCACAGAGCTCATTACACCTGGGAACTCAAGTGAATGCAGTGGTCAAAGAAGTGGGATCGAAATCAAACAGAAACACATCATAAGTTCTTCAAGGGCAAATTATAGTCAGCAATATTTTAATGGTGACATGTAAACGGCTTTCAGTTCCAAGTGCCAAGGAAATTTGCTGTACTAAATATTTCAGAGATTGATTTCACTGATATAGCATGAGGAATTGAATTCCTCAGTTTAGAAACTGTTGTGCTGACATCTGTCATGAATAATAACATCGTTGATCTGTTGTTTAGGAGGTGGGGGAGGAAACCTTATAACCCTGGTAACTCTATTTGATGAGAAGAATGCTGACAAATGTATTAAACTGCCTCCTAACGACAGAGTTTTGTTAATCAGCCTGAGAATGTTGGATTTCCTTAAAGGCAATTCTGTTACAAAATGTAAAAGCTACAGCCTATCTAACCTCATTCATTTTCAGATGACTGGAGTTAAGTCATTACATTTGATGGTCTGGGAATTGTTACCTGATAATATTCAAGAAATTGGGAAATTATGAACTAATTTTGGGCTGTATCAAATAATGAGACTCTAGAGAGTGGAGTATTACAGTAAGCCTTAAAAATGACAAAGAGAAGATATTTAAACCCTTTTTCTTTATGGTGCAGTAAGAACATTCTGTCAGTGAACACCGTTCCCATTATCTGACCAATTGCCTTGCTGTGCCTTTTTCTTTACAGTAGGCTTATATTAATTAAATTTAAGAAGTAGGCACTGCCACTTGCTTCTTCCCTCAAAGAATAATTTAAGTTATCTGCGGATGTCAGTCTTTTTTTCGTAGACTTTGCTTTAGAAATACTTATTCACACCATTAACACCCGGTGATACCCTGCGGAATCTAGAAAAATGCTTACAGTATACAGCAACTGGTGTATAAGTACAGTTATCCAGTTTCATTACAAGTAGTATTTAACTTCTGACTTGTTTCACTGGTTTGTAACGGCCTGATTGCAATTTAAGTTATAGTGAAAGGACCAAACTCTCTGCTTGCATCGCTCTATTGAAGTCAGTGGAGTTATGCCAGCAGAATTTAACCCAGTGTTGCCATCGCAGTGGGTTCAGTCCTGCTCCCCCTGAAGTCCGTGGCAAAATTTCCATTGGCTTCAAGAGGAGTAGGAAGGATCGGACTCCGATGCCGTTCTTCAGTATGGAGCTCTTTCAGACCCCTCCCCTGCAGAGGGCTCTCAGGCAAAGGAAACAGAGCTGGGTATGGGGAGGCGGTGCAAAGGGCACGCACCTCCTGTGTGGATTCTCACTGTGAATGAGCTCCCCCTGCAGAACCTGGGGCACTGATGGGTTTGTGGAAGGGCAGAGATTCAGGATCCATAGCTATGCAGTTGCGTGTTTTTCCCCCTTGGCCCAGGGATCTTCTTACGTAGAGGGCATAGTCCTGCGTCTTGAGTATTGTTGTACTGACCGGGGCAGCATTTTTCCATCTGAATCTAACCCCAAAGTCTGTTTCGAGATCATAACGCCAGGGAAGGAGAGGACCTCTAAGGCCTTAGAGCCCATCCTACAATGAATATTAGAACGAAGATTATAATAATCCCTTCCAAATTCCATTCACAAATATATATTTTATCATAATTCTTCAGTAGCTGATAGCTGAGCAGTCTTCTTCACAGTGAAGTTGTGTAGCCTTATTATTTAATACTTTTGTGCCCCAAGTGATTGATAGCCTTCCTATCTCAGATGGGGATATAATAGCACTATACGAAGTGTTACAAGCTGTACTGGTATTGAACATCTGAGTAGTGCCTAATGAGTGAATCCTTTCCAGTCCCTTAAATTCTGGTATGCGGAGATGCACGTCTTGTGGACTAACATATTTGTGGAGTTGGGAAAGAGGGAATCTGGGGACTCTGATGGGTAACTGATGTTCTCTAGCGTAGCATGTGGATGATAACATCATTACAGAGTTAAGTAGATTTCAGAGGAAGCAACACTTACACTGATTTATTCATTGCTCTACAGGTTTGAAACTTTTGAAGTGAATAGCTTTGAACAGTTTTGTATCAACTATGCCAACGAAAAACTCCAACAGCAGTTCAACTCGGTAAGGTCAGCTTGAAAATGTTTCATAAGATTAATAGAAAACTTTGGATAAAAGCCTGGCCACATTTCCCTGTGCCAGGCTTCCACTTAGACAAACTTGTCTCCACTCTGGCCAACTCTCACTAGTAACATGAATTCGGCAGTTATAACATAATCCACACTGGGCAGCAATCTTGCAGTAGAACTGTACTATGTATTCATTGCTAGAGGTGAGTTTTGCTTGGTTTTGGTTTTGTTATAAATCTCTTAGCAGGTTTGTAAACAATTTATTCCAACCTGGATCCGCTGATGTTTCTGAATGGTTTGTATGTGAAACCATTGAGAAAACTGGTTTTTGCATAATTTCAACCCCAAGCCAAGCTAAACCTGGCTGTTCTGAATCTGTTTCAGGATTTAAAGAGAATTCAGGAGTGGAAACCTCTAAGAGGCTGACCTAACCTGCTGCGAACTGAAACTACTTCATGTTGTATGCTTGTATTATACACATTCTAACACAATTTGTAGTGTTTGTCTTGGGATGTGAATAGATAGATGGAATTCAATATCTACATTGCGTAGACATAAAAATGTCAAACTTTACACAATTAAGGGTCTGATTCCAATTTCATTGAAGTCCATGGGAATTTTGCCATTGACTTCAGTAGGAGCAAGATTTGATCCTAATTTTGGATAAAGTGGATCTACAAGAGAATTTGTTAAATTTGAGGAACTAAATTCTGTGGGGCAGTCCTGGTACTTTAAAACTGTTCTGTACATATAGTGATGCACAGTTGCAATATATGTAAAGCATCATACTATATATCAATGCTTCTTTAAGAAATGAAGAGGAAAGTGATGGGTTTAATTTGCACAATACACAACTGTTTTAATACGTATAACTGTTGCTTCTAAAGCAAATACATTCAAATTCAGTGATGGCATGTTTGAAGAGGTTTTAAAAGCCACCTTTGAAGGAAAACAATGCATCTGAGCCAGACCTTTTTTTCTCTCGTGGTTAGAATATCTTAGAAATGATCAAAGGAATTTTAACCTCTTGGAAATCAGTCTGAGAAACTTCAGCCTGTGGGGGAACTTTTTTTCCAGAAAGTTGTGTGTATGAAAACAGGAATCCATATTGAAAATGTCTTCTGAATCACAGCTGTGATGTTGATAACTCTTTTAGGAAAATCAACTCAGTCTCCCACTTGTGTGGAAGTGTGCTCAGATACTTTGATGGTGTGCACCAATATAAGAACCTAGATAGGTAAACGTCTAGGGTATTCTAGTTCACTGTATAATTTACCTGTCATGGCATATGAAAATGAGGAATCATTAGGGGAGGAGGCAGAGATCTTGAGTAATGTATAAGCTATATTATGCTCCCCTGATAGGATACCTCTCTCACTTATCTGCAGGGACCATTTGAATAATTTTCCAGTGCTATATATAAAGAAAATATCCCCACCCAAGTGCTTTACAATGGTAGACTTTGAGATCCTTAGTCTGTACATGGGACCAACAAATAGCAGAGTTTTTAGTTACACTGCACACTATCTGCAGCTGAAAATTCTAGCACTTCTCGGCCATGTACAGGAAAACTCTACACTTCTAATAATTGCAATAGGTAAGTGGGACGAGGGAAGTTTAATTATTAAAAAGGTAACAGTTCAGTAAAATTTTTCTGTCTTTTCTGATCACAGCATGTATTTAAGCTGGAGCAAGAAGAGTATATGAAGGAACAAATCCCTTGGACTCTTATAGATTTTTATGACAATCAGCCCTGCATAGACCTTATAGAAGCCAAACTTGGTATCTTGGACCTATTGGATGAAGAGTGTAAGGTAAAGAAAAACACTGATGTCATCACTGCCATTTTTATCATTCTCAGAGTAACTTTAGCAGGCTAGTCATGCTGCATTCAGTGTGATGGGTCCCCAAACCAGCACTCTCCAGAAGCAGGAGGGGGCCAATAAAACAGTCCTTGTCCAAAACGAACTGCAATCTGGCGATCTTGTTGAATTCATCACTGCTCCTGGGTTCTCAGGTAGTGGCAGTAGCCTATAGTATTTCTTATCTAATGCATCTGACTAGGAGGCTATGACCACTCCTCTCAGATGCAGAATTTGCAGTAGTCATCCCCTTCTTTGTGACCTCTACACTAGGTAAGGCTATTGCAATGTGCTTTACTTCTGGCTACAGTTGAAGACCACAGGTAAACATCATCTGATGCAGAAGGTTGCTGCCCACTTCCTAAATTGGGCAGACCACTGACACACCACACCAGTGCTCTCATTTCTACATTGGGTGTAGTTACAGATGTTCGTGCTGATATTTAGTTCCCTAAATGGGACCTGGGGTGTTGTTGTTTTTTTTGTTTTGTTTTTTTTTTGAGTTCCCCTCTCCAAGCCTATATCCTTTCACAGCAGTTGAAATTGGCTGCTTTTCCTTGTGGTTCCTGGGATAAAAGTCTTTTTGGGTGGTAGGGCTTTCTCAGTCTGAATCTCCACCTTTTGGAATTCGCTCCTGTTGGTGGGTCAGATACTGGATCCAGAATATGGTAGATTTCTGAGCCCAATCAAAAGCTTTTTAATTTGTTAGATTTGAAGGAGTTTATTAATAAAGTTGATGATGCAATGACAAGTTGCAATCCTGGAGGGATAGATTGTAAGCTCTTTGGAGCAGGTATCCTCTTTTTTTATTCTGTTTGTACAATGCATAGCACAATGGGGTCCCAGTCCATGACTAGAGATCCTAGACACGACAGTAATACAAATAATAAATAATGATAATAACAGATCACATTTATACAAGGGGTGAAATTCTAGATTTATTGAAGTCAATGGCAAAGATCCCATTGACTGTAGTGTAGCCAGGATTTCATCCAAGTTGTCCAGATTGCTGAAATCAGATGCACTTGCCACCCTGATTCTATACCAAACGAGCAGAAGCCACCGAGACATCCGGGTGCTGGTACAGTCGGTCATTTGTACACTTTCTCCATGTCATAATGGTTGCAGCAGTGAGATTTCATACAGTGAGATTTTGTCTTAAATGTCCATCTCAGGGACTAGCAAAAATCAGTTCACCTGGCTGAAGTGGCTTTTAACTAAAGGTCAGACAAATGGCATTGGGAAGCTTGGGCACATTTTAAAGAGTTCTCTTACAGTGAGTCTGTAGAAACAGATTTCCATGTTTATTGCTGCTCAGCAACTCCTGATCAAATGTGTTCAGCTTACAAATTAAGTCAGTAACAGCCAGAACTGCAAACTCACCTTAGAATCCCAAAGTCAAGTTGGACTCTTCCTTGCTCATCTGTCAGCAGCAATAACAATTCTGCAGCTGGAACTTAGTTAACATGATGCTTGAGCCAGCAGAATCCGAAGATTGTTAGATCGGCAGAGGGCTGGTAGGGTAAGGAGCTGGTAGAGCGCAAACAGCCGAAATACCTTTGCCTAAACACAAGGGGGAGGATCTGTTGAATAAGAAGGTGCCATTTTTGCAATCACTTTTCTGCTCATAATCTCCCTTTAACACAAGGGAGTAACTTCCTGGAAGTGGTTCTTCATACCAGTTTCCATCTAGTGTGATTACAGGTCAGTGTTTTAACCATCTGTTATTAGGCAAGAACGTTTGCATTAAGACTCAGGTCTGCCTGTCACAAGAAATGTTATGCATGCATTGAAATGGCCTTGTGGATCTGTGTGCATATATACAGTAGGGTAAACTGTTAGCCTTCATGTTCAGTCAGTGTAGTGGACCTTGCCTCTCCTGTAGCAAGGCATGTAAAGGACACCAATCACTCTTGTTAGCTCCATTGAGATTCATGAGCATAACACAGGCCCAAGGTGAGAAGGCGGCAGAAGTGTCATTTACATCAAAGGGAAGCTTTTCAGATTTGTTATTTAAATTCCTTTGTTCCTGCTGGGATTTAATGAGGAGTGTGACCTGTCTTCCTTTATGACAGAAAGGTGACTTCTTAGGTGAGCACTCACTTCCTTCCATTTCTTATGTGGCACATCGACTTTCCTTCCCATTTAATATTGCGTTGTCTTCCATGGCTAGTGGCTGGGTGTTATACTATTGATGGTTGGCTGTAATAATTTGTGATGAAGACATTCACAGCGGGGATTTCTATTTGTGTATTTACAGTGAGTCAGAGCTGAGATTTTTCACTTGGTTAAGTGAATTTGATTTTTTTTTATTATTTAAGTATCCTTGATCTTTTTTTTTTTTTTTATTTAAACTGAGCATTAGTCTATGAAATGCCTACTGGTTGCATAAATCTGCTTGGCTTGTGCATTCTAATGAAATCATAAGGTAAAATGTTATGTTGTGAATAACGCAAAGTAGAAGGCATGGTGGAGTATGGCACATGTTTGTGGTATTACTCTTCCTTCTGATTCAGTGCTGAACCAATGCCCAAGCACAGTAGTAGATGACATTCTGTTCCTGGAGGCGCTCTGTTTTGGGTGAGACACAATGACTTAAGCACTTGTGGTCATTAAAGATCCCACCTCCCTTCTTGTAAGGGAAGATAGAGGTAGATGTACTGGCCAAATTCCAATTTAATTGCATCCTTCCTGCTGAAAATGTTCCCTGTAGTTGCTTCTTGTCTGCCATCCCTCAGGGTTTCCACTGGGAGAGAAACTTTATATGGCTGAAGCACCAGCCAGGCCCAGCCAATGGAAACTGCTCTGAGGATGTGCAAAACAACCATTAAATGAGGACTTTCCCATGTTTAGCATATTTTCGGTCTTGTCTTGTCAATTATGGCTTCTGATTATAATTAATTAACAAATGAGAACAAATTAAAACTTGCATAGTATCACACTGGGTACTGGCTCAGAAGTAGGTCATGAATCTAAGCTCAGCTGTTTAGTGCCATTTTGTTTCATCCACTGCACTGTCAAGCCTCTCTTTCTCCAGGCCTTGAGAAGACCTCTAACTATTAGGAGCTAGGAGGAAAGTTTCCCAGATGGCAGATTGCCCTGTAACTTCAAACAGCATCTGGTACTGGCTGCTGTAGGTGACAGGCTACTAGACTAGATGTACCATTGCTCTGATTCATTATGGTAATTCCTATATATAAAAAATAAATGGTACCCTGCTTTGGTGTTGTACAGAGCCCTGCTGCCGAATGGGGACAGCCTGAACACAGAACTCTGTCCAGTTCCAACCCAGTACTACTTTTAGTCCACACCTCTTTGACATGGAACCTGAAACAGAGGAACAAACCCCGCACACATCAATTCCCGCAGTTTCTGTGGTAATTCTCTGTAGCTTGGGAGTGGTGTAATTAGTCACAGCTTTATAATGGACCCTTTTATAATAATCTGCAAACAGTCCACAGCCTTACAGAGTTTTCAGTGAGCGTGGTGAGTGAAAGCACCATTTTATCGATAAAACCTACTCACACCCACATCCCAGTTGCTGAGCTTGTATTTTTAGAATCTCACCACTCCTCCTTGCTGTTATAAAATAGCAAAACCTCTTCTGTTATGCGGCACCATGGAGAGAGAATTGCTTTGCTATTGGCCGTAGTTGGTATAAAAGTACAATAAGCCAGTTGGCAAGCAAGCCCACTAATACAGTGGATAAATGTACTCTGGGACTGAAACTCCATCAAGGGGCCTGGCACCATAATGAAATGCTAGAGCAGAAGTGGGGTATTTGTCACCAAAGTTCTTGCCTCGGAATGTTTTTCCTGTATTTTTTTTAAATGTATACAAGTTCTTTATTTAGCCTCTTCCATATGACTTTTGTATGCCAATGGACTGGAGTGAACTAAATAATACAAATAGCTACAGATCATAGCAAGAATATAGCTACAGGGTTAAAAACCAAATGAGAGATGGGAGGCCTGGTCTACACTAGGACTTTAATTCGGATTTAGCTGCCTTAATCCGAATTAACCCTTCACCCGTCCACACTACAGAGCCAGTTAATTCGAATTAAAGGGCCCCTTAAATCGATTTCTGTACTCCACCTCGACGAACGGAGTAGAGCCTAAATCGATTTTGTTAATTCGAATTAGGGTTAGTGTGGACGCACACCACCGAATTACTGTGTTTAAGTTAATGGGGTAGTGTGGCCGCACACCACCGAAGTAATGTGGTTTAAAACCGAATTAAGGTGCTTAGTGTGGCCGCGCACAATCGAATTTATACAACCTGTTTCCCAAATTCGAATTATCTAAATTCAGATTAATCCTGTAGTGTAGACATACCCGGAGTCACCAGTGAAACAAATGGGTTTTGAGTTCAGGCAGGGGCTTGAAGAGAGAAGCTCAGTTCCTCATGTTTTGAAGGAGTTTTTCTGACCTTACATGGAAACTTTCACAATCCCCAAACTCTATAACAGATACTTTTTCTCTATGTATCTTAGGACAGGTTGTAGTTATTTTATGTATCCCTTAAATGTCCCAATTATAAATGTGGATGTTGAGCCAGAGTATAGTTACTCACTATTCATCCCTGTGCCAAAAACAATGAAATCAGGTTACTGGTAATTTTTTAGCAGGCTGGTTTTGAATCCCACTGATATCTCTGCACGTCAGTGTAAAGTTCACTATTAAAAAAAATACGTTTTCCTTGATTTGATGGTTGCTTGGTCTGTAGAAAATCATTGGAAAACAAAGTGGCATCTTTCAATGCTGGGCAGCTACTTCCTCTGATTTCTGTTTTATGAACCGCTGCATGTAGGTTAAGAAGAGGGGGAGAACCTCTGGGGGGTTTAGGGTTTGGACCTCATTAGTTCTAATCAAATGGCAGAATAACGACTTACACGTCCAGTTGTCATCCAGAGTGTGGTGAGGAAGCAACAGAATGTGCAGCCCCTACCC